CAGTTGCATAATCTGGTTGTAAAATCATGTTCTTTAGATATATTTTGATATGGCCTAGAATTATTTATCATTGTTATTATTATTATCACTTTATATTAAGTTATATTTAGGAATAAAATCTCCTGACTTATTTTATAAGACATAAATTTCCCTAAAATTTGTCTTTCAACTTTTCTTATTTTGACTTTTGTGTTTTTCTAAATGAAATTTTATTTAAAAACAGAGCTTCAGTTTTACTATTTTTATACCAATCATCTGATGATTTGTTTTTGAATATTTTTAATTGTATACTTCCATAGGTGGCTCCTGCAATCATACCTAGATACGCTTTAATGATATAGGTCCTTCTTTCTTTCTTTTTTTTTTTTTTTAAATATATCTTTATTGATTTCAGAGAGAGGAAAGGAGAGGGAGAGATAGAAACACCAATGATGAGAGAGTCATTGATCGAGCCCACAACCCGGGCATGTGCCCTGACCAGGAATCGAACCCTGATAGCCTGGATCCTAGGTGGATGCTCAACCGCTGAGCCACACCCTGCCGGGCAAGGTCCTTCTTTCTTAACTGTTTAATGTTAAGTTTACAAGACAGGACCAAATCCAATGATTTTTTTTCTGGTAATTTCATTTCTAGGCCTTAGATATGTGTATCCTGTGGAGAAAAATTCATCTTGTTAGCAATGTTGGAAAAACTATTTTAGGGAGAAACTGGTTTTATTGGAAAAAAATCTTTCATAGGACTGCAGTATGGTAGAAGTGGGTTGATGTACATGTTTCGAATGGAAATAACACTAATAAAGGAAGGAGAGTGAGGAAAATGTAGGGCTGAAAAGTGGCTGGAGAAAGGGTCAGAGAGATGAAAGGCTCTGGTGATATGGCCAAAGAGGGATTCACATGGGGAGAGAATTGTCTAATGCAAAAATTTGAATTTGTTTCATGCATATATGCCTGGAAAACCTTTCTGTCTTTCTCCCATGTATAATCTTTAGCATATTCTGCATTACTCTCTATGGGTGATAGAATGGATTTTCTTTTGGGGCATATGTGAAGATATTCTAAATTTTGCTTTTTAGGTTGGAGTTTGGCAAGAAAAATGTACTTGTGAAAGTCAACAGCTGAGTTACCATGAGGAGAGGAGGGATGCTAATAAAATGAACTCTTGAAGATGATAGAAAAAGTTTTTTTTCACAATGTAGATTCATAGTTAATCAACATATGCTTTAGGAGATTTAGATCTCTAAGATATTATAAAAAAGAAAATGGATTCAGTAAAAGTATTCTTGTTTATATAAATACTAATACTTGTTTAAATAAATTTTAAAACTCAAGTGACTGCAAGCTGAAAAACTAGTTCAACTGATATAAATACAATTATTCAGACCATATTTATTTTTACATTACTGTAACAGCTTTTCAATAAATCTACATATGTAAATTTCCCATATAATTGAAGTTTCACTTTAAAAGTAGCAAAATCTTATTTACTATTGAATTTTTATCTTGTATTATATATTTTTATATTGTATTATATATTTTTATCTTGTATTATATATTATATATATTGTGTATCTTGTATTATGTATTTTACTATTAATTTGATATATTCTTTCTTAATTTAACCTTTTTTTGAGCTTTGACTGTTCCTCTGAACACTAATTTTGGGTTTGCATTGAGCAGGGCCTACAGTAAGCACTCAATACATATTTAATGAGTGAATGAATGAACTAATGAACTGTACCCTTTATTTTCATATTTAACTAACCGGGAAACGATCTGCTACTTGTCTTCTTGTCTTAAGTGATTAGCTTAGAAAGAAATTCAGTAAATTTATAAAGTGTTTTAGGACTCATGTTCATAGTTAAAGTTTTCTTCTTTCTAATTATGCCCTAAATTCTTTGCTTTGGTCAAGGAATGTTATACCATAAGTAGTTGAGATGTGTTTGAGGTCTTAGGGGCAGGGAGTAGAATAACAGAGCCTGTTGAGCTTCTCCTGAAGATAGACTGCCTTTAGACATGTTCAAGTTGTCTTCATGATGGGATATGGAGAAATATTTAGAAGGACCTTTATTTAAATATTGTTTCTTACCCCCATCTCTACCACCAGTGTTCAGACTGGTGGAGAGTGAAGATCATTAGAACCTATGATGGGGTACAGTGGGTGTTTAAAGGAAGAAATCATGGCATTAAACAAGCTTTCTGATGTTTTCATTATCTCTTCAATTAAGAATTTAATATCATAGTGTTATCTTCATAATTAGCTAGTTAATATTAATAAAGGAAAGAAAGCCAAGGGAAGTCAGACTTTGTAAGCATGGTCACCTGGGAAGCTTCACCAGGAAGCTACAGCTTCACCCAGCATAGTCCCTGCAAGGGGATTAGCACCCCTCCCTCCCCCATCCAGTACTGGATGGTTAGGGGGGAGAGGGGAAGATGGGCACATGCACAGTAGAAGTAGGGATGGTGCAGGGACGGTGCTTGCCTGTCAGTCTAGCCTGGGGAACAATGGATTGCCTAGTGGGTGAACCCAGTAGAAATGCATAAAATCTTGGAAAGTTAATTGGTTAGTTTGAAGAAGCTCCTGACTAAAATCCCCAACAGAGAGTTCCCTCTTGTTCTCTCTTGCTCAGTGACCTGCACTGGCCTGTTTTCTCTCCATAGCCATATGGCCTTAGCAGCCACATGGCCCATGGCCCTGCAGATTTCACACACAGGATTGTGGACTGGAATGTACTTTAATATGGAGCAGAAACTATGGGCAGTGGCCTTTATTCTGGCCCTGCCAAAGACAAGATTGGACTTCTTCCATGGCGAGATGGACAGAGATGGGACCTCAGAGGGGAACTTCCTTAATTTTACATCATCAATAAAGCTTTTCACGAGACCCCCATCCTCCCAAGGGGGGTGCCTCAGGAAATTCATATCCTCGAGGCACCCCAAGAGCTCCACTTCCATAAATAACAATAGCACTACAATGCATAGCTTCACAGGGCTGCTTAATTTATTTTAGAACCCTATGATATTTTAGGCATAAAGAAATAGGGGGAAATGTGATAGACATCTCTGTATATACCATCTACCTTAAGAAATAAAATATTACAGGTATTATTGAAGCATCCAGTGTCCCCTTTCCTCAGTTCTACAGATTTCACTGTAGAATTTGATATTTAACATTCTCATTTGTCTTTTGATATTTTCATCCATACTTATGTACTGTTATATAGGCTATTTTGCATATTTCTTGAACTTGATCTACATCGTATTCTTTCATACCTTTTAAAATTAACTTTTATGTTTTGGCTGTTCACGTATAGTCATATATTGGTTCTAATCCATCCAGTTTATCCTGTTGCATGGCTTCCTGTTGTTTGATTATACCACAGTGTTTTTACCCATTTTGTGGCTGATTTAAATTTTGAAAGCCTACATTTTAATTTTGTGTGCTATTGCATAAATTCTTCAGCAAACATTTGGGAATGCTTTCTTGTACACATTTGTGAGAATTTCTATAGGCTGTGACCTAGTACTAGGTTTTGTTGGGCCATAGAATTAATATCTTCAACTCTGCTACACGATGCCAAGTTGCTTTACCAATTTTCCCCCTCAGCAGCAATGTTATTTTATAATCCTGCTGAATACTTGATATTTTTGAACTTCTAAGTTCTGCTATCCAGTGGGTGGGGAATGACATCTCATTGTAACTTGTGTTTCCTTAATTACCAGTGAGCTTGAGCATCACTACATATGTTTATGGGCTATTCACGTGTCTTCCCCTGGAGTATCTTTGCTCATTTCTCCATTGTTTTCTTTTTCTCATTGACTTATAGATGTTCTTCATACATTTTGTATTCTCTCTCTTTCTTGGTATATTCATTACAAATGTAGTCCCAGTTGGTAGCCTTGTCATTCTGTCAGTCTATTCATCCATTTCTATGAAGNGTTCCCCTGGAGTATCTTTGCTCATTTCTCCATTGTTTTCTTTTCTTTTTCTCATTGACTTATAGATGTTCTTCATACATTTTGTATTCTCTCTCTTTCTTGGTATATTCATTACAAATGTAGTCCCAGTTGGTAGCCTTGTCATTCTGTCAGTCTATTCATCCATTTCTATGAAGGTAAGTTTTTAATTCTAGTGGTCAAATTCATCAGGCTTTTCCTTAGTGTTTTGTGGGTTTTTAAAAATCTTGTTTAAAAAATACCTTTTAAACCCAGGATTACAAATTTATTTCCCTATATTTTCTTCTCAGTATTTTACAGTTTTGCCTATCATATTTAAACATTAATCTGTGTTACAGTGATTCTTTGGCATATTGTTAGAGACTCATTTGTTTATCCCCATAAGGATAACCAGCACCACTTGATAAACAGTGTGTCCTTTGCTCACTGATTTTTATGCCACCTCCATTATATAAGTTTCTGTGTGTATGTGAGTCTGTTGTTGCTCATTTTGGCTTTCTTCCAGGATCTTCAACCTACCTTTCCTTTGCCTCCTATAGTTTATAACCCTCTACCTTTCTTGCTTCAGGCATTTCTTTGGATTTTAACTCAGTTCTGTCACATGCCTGTGAATTTGAGTAAATGTAATAGGATTTTAATTTTTTTCTACCATGACATGTATCTTATCTTATTGCCTAGAATGCATTTCTATTTTTTTCATATTATCTCCCTATGTGAATGGTGTTTCTTAAAAAAGTACTCACCTTTTTCTTTGACATTCTACTTATTAATAGAAGTATTAGAGTTGAAAGTACAATGGGAAATGTTATAATCCTTAATATTAAGATGCAAAAGGCAAACTTTGAAATACATTTCTTAAAAATAAATGAATAATAATCTACTTTTTCTAAATGTCTAGTATAGTATTTTGATTAACATCTTGTAATACTTAATAATTTTTAGGCAGTTTGATTCGGTACAAGTAGTAAGCATATTATGCTTTGTTTGAAGTTCATTAAGTATCAGTTTGATCATGCTCTTGTTAACATTCTTCTATAATTTTTTTAGATGATTGGAATCCAGTTTCATACCCATACAAAAAACTGGATTTTGGAAAATGGGAGCTGTATATACCACCAAAACAGAATAAATCTCTAGTGCCCCATGGATCCAAATTAAAGGTACTTTTTTTCCCTTCTGTTTTTATTTGAATTTGTTTATTTTTAAATGGGTATGCAAAGTTTGATTTAAAATATGATAATGTAAACCAATATGTGATAATTGTGGGAGAAACAGTTTGAATGCTTAAATGCAGGAAATTTGCATTTAAGGATATCCACAAATTGGAATGTGTTGTTTTATACCTGTTTGGTTGGAAAGGTACTGAACTTAGTCATATTATCAACTTCAGAAACTTTATATAAAGAGTGATTGAGTCATTGTAAAAACTTAGCTTAGAGAACAGAAAGTTTAATAGAAAAATGAAAACTGTCCTCAAATCAGCAAATGTAGAGAGAAAATTGATTTTGTGATGAGCCACAAGAATGTGGAATGCGATATGGTGGCGGAGACATATGCATTTTGGGACATGTTTTTTGTGCTTTTTGGCCTTCCTGGCCTTCGACACGGGGGTTCTCGTTTCTTCCCCTCTGCGGGGGGGCCACCTGGACTAGCCTGTCAGAGGCAGGCTGAGCGTCCTCCGCACTCCTGGGCTTTAGCTGGCCATTTAGCTGGGGTCTCATTCGAGTCTGCAGAGCCCACAAGGCCTCTCTGCTCCTCAGAGGAGTCTGGAGGGATGAGAGGACCTAAAGTACTGTATTACAGATGTAAGGCCTTGGTTTATATGACAAGCTACCTCAATCTTTTAATATGTACTTGATTTTGCTCATATAGTTATGTAACATTCCATGTCCCTTGTTTCTCTTTCCCTTCCTTAGACAATCAATAGCATTCATAACATTTATTATGATAAATCCTGTGACAAAATTATTATTTTTATGGATATTTGTTATTTAACAACATTAACTCAGAGTTAGAGCATATTTAAAATCAATATGGATTGCTTGTTTGTCTTGCAGGGGCTTTTTGTTTTGTTTTGATTTTACAAATAATGAAATTAGAAGTGTATCTGAAAATTACTAAAATATTGCCACACATAATATAGTTACCAGAAGACCATATTGTCTAGAATAAAGAGACATTTAACATGGGATGGCAGCCAAGGTTCTTTTAAATCTGTAGTGAAAAGGAGAAAAAGTAGCTGCAGCATACAATAAGAGGGATTTAAATTTAATATAAATAATCCCTTTTCCAAGTCAGTATAAGCTGCACAAGAGCAGGGGCCTTGGCTGTTTTGTTTGCTGATACTACTGTATACCCTCGATTCTTAGAGCTGTGCCCGGCACAGAGTAGGCCCACAAGAAATACTGACTGAATGTTAAAGCATTTTTAGGTCCAGTCTTTTCAGAAATAAACCAAGTAGCCTGGTTTTTCTATGGTTTATAAAATATAAAGCCTGATTTTATGGACATTTTGAGGCAAGGCAACTACTTTAGTACCTCTAATCTCATTGTCACTTTAGGTCTTATGGCTGTTTTTATTTGTTTTATTAAGAACTAAACTTACTCATTTTTTCAAGTGCTGAGAATGTTTTTCTGCTTTCTTTAAATTATTAAATTTTATGAGCTCTGACACACCATTACTACTTTTTCCATTAAATAATGAATGAGTTAATTTTGGTATATTGTTTTCATACCTGGGGAATGATAATGATTGGGTCTGAATGTTGCATGTCTGTGTCCCGTTCCCCCCCCCCCC